TCTGGTTCATCAGCAGATTCACATTTAGTTTTATGTTCACTCTGCACTCTGTGGGCACATCCACTTCCTCTATCTCCATTTAACACTCAGACAGGCCATCACCCTTCATCATCTGACCCCAGGATTTTCTTGGCTTTCTTGGTAACGGGCATGAACCAAAGAGCGGTGCTGTTTTTGATGCTGCTTTGCATAAGAATGGGTTTCTTTGTGAAACTTTAACAAACTTTACAGTTAAAGTGCAAATCTTCACAACTTATGTATGATTATCAACATTTTTAAGGGCTCTGATAGTCTGACATGGATATTACAGCATAAGTTTTCCACAAGACAGGTGTACACTGGTTCAAAATAAATATCTACTATTGTAAAATAAATATATAGATTTAGATAGATTTCTCCATCCATCCATCTCTAAGTTGTACACAAGCAATATATAATTCTGCCAAAAATATTTATTTATCACAAAAAACAACACGTAGCTGGGCTATTCATAGACTTGAGAAAGGCATTTGACACTACAGATCACAATATATTAATAAGAAAACTGGAACATTATGGTGTCAGAGGGGTAGTTTTAAATTGGGTTCTGAGTTATTTAAGTGACAGGAAGCAGCTTGTGAAATTAAATGGCTGTTGTTCCTTGTGTATGGACATTGAAATTCAGTGAATGTCTCTATTTCGAAAATGTCATGTGATGTATATATTATCAGAAGTCTGTTTGCTATTTTTACTACAGATTATATCAGTAAGGAAGCTGACTATATATTGACTGATAGCTTATGGCAAAGGGGTGGGATTAAATAAGTGTGTACTTCTTCCCACTCCTTTTCGATGTGTAACTGAATCGGAACAGATGAAGCAATATTGAAATAAATTAACTTTATTTGTATAGTATTTTTTTTCTCTTCTTTTCTTTGCTAAATGTACCCTTATATTGTTTACATGATCGAAATAAATTAACAAACAAATAAACAACACACGATTGTTGACGTTTGTTGTGGCTAAAAATCTTGTCTGCCGAAGCCTCGACTGGGTTGAATCGTAGCCCATTTATGCAGAACAGGTATCGCTTCCTTCTTTTAGTTGTTCTCGACACACACATGCACAATGTTAATATATCTGATCAGAAGCATGGAGGAGATTCCAGGAGCCAGTTACTTAGTCTAGCAGAGGTGGAGAGGGTCGTAGAAGGTCTTTAATTCACCAGCAGGACTAGTATCTCCTTGTTCATGCAAGGAAGAGGACGATAAACACTGACATTTGACATGTGGGTCATTTTGTTTCAGTCCATCTGATTCTGTCAGGTTGCACCTCAGTTTGTCCAGGAGCTCAGTGATGCCCTGACCCAGAGCATGCCCTGAAGTAGTCCTTATAGTCTGTGATGAGAGGAGAAACCTTCTTTGTGCCATTTAGCATCGGCTCCAGCACACTCTCCTTTTAGGTCTGGACCAGAAAGTCAATAAAGAGTTCGGCAAAGTGGACTTAAAAGTGGTGTTAAAAGCACCGGAAATATATAAGTATATTTATTTGAGGCAGTTTAATAAAGCCTAGAACACTCAGGAAGCCATTCTCTCTCTTCACCATAGGCAGAGGGTCCTCGCCCACTGGTAATGTAGCATGCAAACGAAGCTACACTGAGTGGTGCAACAGCCTGGGGTCAACTGAAGGAACTCCTCAGCCTTAAGAAGCCAACAAGCAATCAGCAAAGTCAACACAGTAATTAGCCACAGTCTGGAAATGTGTGGGCAGGTAAGGTTGAGGCTTGACTTCTGAAACACAAAAACCAAATGCCAACATTCACACAAACAAAGGGGAGAGAGAAAGCAGAAGAGAAAGGAAAAGATAGAAGAGCAAGTCGAACCAGTAGGACCAAGGCGTGGCTCTCCAAGAAATATAAAAATAGTACTCATTTTCAAGGTTTCTTGGGTCTTATTTTCGTCTCGGTATGGCCTGAATCCCCTGCTGGGTTAGAGGTTCTATGTTTGATGAATCTGACAGCTACGAAAGGGCAACATTGACTAAAAACCAATCACCTGTAAGGAAGTTTGTCAAGTGTTTTCCAGGAAATGTTTCTGTCAAAATGCTTGCAGACTTTCGTCATTCAGCAGAACTAACAAGTCAATGATGTCTCTCATGCGTCCTTCTTATCGTCTGTGCTCGTTTTGTCATTTTCCCATAAGTTTCTTCATGATGTTGCCAATACACATGAAGAGGAAAACATGTGGAGGGAATTAGAAATGTAGTCACAAATTTATGATAGAAAAAGGAGGATGCTGTGATTGCAGCATATGTGTCCTCTCACAATGTAAGCCTCGAGGCGCTCACATATTTTCCTCTTGGATTCTTGTACTTGTGACTGATGCTGGAGCTCTGTCGACTGGAGCTGCTTCTCACTGATCCCTTCTTCATTCTCACACTGCTGGCCGTGCTCACTGACATCGTCTCTCCTCCTGATTTCTCCTCTGTATCCTCTTGCTTGTGGTTGCGGAGATTCTCGCAGTCACAGTGGTAGATTCTGTCCTCCTGGTCTGAGCAAAACCACTTACAAGAGACGTAGAGAAACTCGACAATGCTGGAAAATGCTGATACTACCCCTACAGCAAAGTAGAAGAGGAGGAAGATTGTTTTCTCTGCAGGCCGGGAAGTGAAGCACTCCACTGTTAGGGGGCAGGGAGAACGGCTACATTGGAAATGGGCCTTCACCTCAAAGCCATAGAGACGCCACTGGACAAATAAGAAGCCGATTTCTGCCAGTATGCGGAAGATCACAGTGATAATGTAGAGCGCCTTGGAAGTTTTTTCTTCTCTGTTCTTCCTGCTGCTCCTTTTTCTCGACGAGGAGCTGTTGGCCCTCTTGTGATCTTGATGTGTTACATACACGAAGTAAAGCAGAGAAGGTGTAGCGATGAGGATCAAATGAAACACCCAGAATCTGTACTGGGAGATGGGGAAAGCCTCATCGTAACACACCTGCTTACATCCTGGCTGGAGGGTGTTACAGGTAAATTCCTCCTGCTCATCCTCAAACATGTCACTGGCCACAGTTCCCAGGATTAGTATCCTAAACACCAAAACGAGGACGAGCCAGAAACGACCCAGCATCGGTAAATGGGTCTGGAAGTCTTTAAATAATCCACCGATGAAGCCCCACTCACCCATGGCTGCAGCTCTGTCAGGTCTGTCTTCTTGGAAGTCTGGAGGCTTGTTCAGCTGTTCGTCTCAGAGCAAATGCTGCCTTTGTCTTAAAAATGAAACTAGAATTTTTGTTATTGTAATCTCCAATCAGTGACTCACGGTTTAACTGAACCCATCAAACCTGATTAAATGTTGCTTCAAGGCTTATCCACCTTAGTTGCTCAGTGGGCTGTCTTAGTGGGCTGAAACCAAAAATGACGCAAAGAACCCGCAAAGAGAGTACATAAAGCACAACACTTCAGGAAAAAAAAACTGTAGCAACAGCCTGTAATATATCCTTTCAGTTCTTTTCTCCTTCAGTTAAAATACAACCAGCTAACATTGTAGAGTACATAACCAACCTCAAGACTGATCCAAGGTTCCATTTCATACATTTGAACTTTGCTAATGGACAGGTTGAAACCCAACTCCTACATTTCAGAGATGCCAGAGATGCCAAGATAAAATAGTCTGACGACAGTGTTAATCTACTATGCAGAGACTCATGACCTACCGTCATGTTTGTTTTCCCAAGTAAGCAGGTACCAATCCAAATCATTGGATCATGTGCTCCAATCACTTCCATGACCACATGTGTATAACAAATGCACTTAGGCATGCGGACTGCTTCTACAAATATTTTAGATTAGCTCAAGAACAGTGCGTAGGGTGGCTTTTCATAGCTGAGCAGCTGTATACAAGCCTTTCATCACTGAGCTCAATACAAAGTCTGGGATGGAACCACTGGACTCAAGAGCTGTGGAGACGTGTTCTCTGGAGCAATGAATCACTTTCCTGTCTGGCAATCTGATGGACGAGTCCACCAGTGCACAAAGCAAGGGCCATAAAGACATGAGTCTGGTGTGGAAGAACTCGACTGGCCTGCAGAGCCAATATTAAACCCTACGGATTAAGAACGGGAGTTTACTCAAATTCATGTGTTTGAAGGCAGATAAGTGAATACTTTTAGCAATATAGTGTATATTTGGATGCTCCTACTGCTGCATTGCATTAAAATCTTTCTACAAAATTAAAGCAAGTAGCTTTTTTCATTAAACAGGAGCCCCAACACAACCCGGTGACACAAAGCAAACACACCATGCAATCAATAAAAACAAACTTTATTTTTTAAAGGTATAAACTGAACAGCCAAAGAAATATTTACAGGACAGCACAAAACACAAACAAGTGGATTACAAAATACGCCTAGAAGCTAAGAACAAATACTATTAAAACTAGACTTGTATACCAGCTTTTTTTCCCCTTCTCTTTGAAATAATACGATTTTTATTTATTTATTTTTTAAATAAACAATGGTGAGTTTTTGTTTGTCTTTTTTTTTTTTTTTTTTAATTTAAAGGTTACAGATTGCTGGTCCAAGGTCCATATATGAGGCGAGTGTAAATGCAGCTGAACTTCAACAGATAAAATGAGTGCAATATTACCTGCATGGCACACTACAACATTTATGACTCATCTTTTCGAAATAACAATTTGGGAACTATTATTTAAAAATCTTCATCTGAATCTGAGTCCAGGTTGTAGGTGATGGGTTTCCGAGCCCGTGAGGGTTTATCCCGTGGTGCTGCAGCTACAGGAGCGGCTTCTTCAGGGTCTGAAACCTGGAAACTCTCATCCTCTTCCCACTTCTTGCTCTTCTGTAGCAGAAAAGGAGATTAAAAGGATTAACAGTGATTATATTAGCACAGGATGCATACAGGAAACCTTTAAAATCTAAACATGTGTAGCAGAGAATCATTTGTTCTACTTAAGTCAGTAGTTTTATTTCAAATGTCACCATTTAAAAAGCTACTTTTATTCTTTTAATAGCTTCATTGTTGAGCCACTTTTTCGTGGTCAGAGTTTATAGTATTTCATTTTATATTTAGAGTTTTACTTCCTGAGGTTGGGCTACTGTACTGCAGGAATATGCCAACTTCTGAAATACTTGAATCACATCTTATGACGTAACACATAAATAGAAAACGAGTGTTCAGTATAAAAACTGACCTTGGTGCCAGCAGTCGTCTTGGATTTGAGTCGTGACATGAGGTCATCTGAGGAGCTGCTGTCAGAGTCATCACTGAGGTTCTTTTTACGTTTAAGAACAGGTTTCTGTTTTGTGACGGGAGCTTTCTTTTCAATCTCTGAGTCGCTAGAGTCGAATGACGGGACATTCTTGGCAGCAGGAGCCCTGGACGCAGGTTTGGGTTTAGAGAGAGCATCCAAGATAGATGGCTGCTTCACATCTAGAGAAAAAAAAACAAAAAAAACGACATTCCAAAGATAAATTTGTTGATTTCTTTGTTTTATAATGATCATGTGCTCAAATCTACCTGTGACCTTTATAAGACCAAACAAACATCTGTGTTACCTGCAGCCTTCTTCTTAGATGCAGCTGGTTTCTTGGCAGCGGTGGGCTTCTTCGGTGCGGCCTCTTTGGTTTTACGTTGAGTTGGAGGCTTGGATGCTGGCTCCTGATCGTCTGACAGAGCTGTAAAGTGCCACAGAGACAAAATATCCAGTCCTCAGAGCCTTGGCCCCACATTTCGCAAATTCATCAAACTATGATCCTAAATGAAAATACTTACAGCTCGACTTTGTGTCTGTTTTTTTAACTGTCGATTTGCTTTTTGCTACCTTCTTCCTGCAGACAAAAGACAAGGTTTGTTTTTAAGGTACATTAAAACAAAAGAAAGATACGTTTTAAGGTTTTTCTTATACTCACGTGGGTTCTGGAGCTTTGGGAGGCGGAGCTGGAGAGTCCACATCATTGTCCGACACAGTGCTGGGATCTGGGGCGAAGCTTGCATCATCATCGTCACTTATTAAAGCCTTCCTTTTTGGAGCGTCCTTCTTACCCCAGTCATCAAAATCATCTTCACTGTCAGACATGCTGTACTTCACCGCAGCTTAAACAGTAAAAAAAGAACAAAACGAAAAGGCAGCTTTAGTAATGCTGCGCTTTGTCAAAGAAAACAAGCATGAGAAGCTGAGGTGTTAAAATGCTGCTCAAAAACCCTTCAATTTGGCTCATTTCCAGATAAGTTAATAATCTTAATAATAAACACCTTCATTTAGAAAAAGCATTTTATGTTTACTCTATTATCTTGGTCTAATATTTACATTTTTTAATTATCTAAAACACTTAGGTGTGACAAACATAACATAAATAAATAGGAAATCACACCACTTAAAGAGTTATCCATCAGCAGAGGAAGCAGTGTGGGCCATCAAGCAGATTCACCTTTGGTTTTCCGTTCTACGCGCTCTCTGGGGGCAGCCGCTTCCTCTGCCTCTACTTCACTGTCCGACAGGTCGACATCCTCATCTGACCACGCGTTTTTCTTGGGCTTCTTGGTAACAGGCTTGAACTGAAGAGTGGTCTGCTTGCCCGTCTTTGATGCTGCTGCACACGAGAAATGCACTTCTTTATGAACTTAAACAAAAATGTAAAATTTAAGTGCAAACTGATATTTATTATAGCAACTTGCTTATGATTATCAACATTTTTGAGTGAATGTTATAGCAAGCACCAAATTTTACACAATCCAGTTTTGTGTGCATGAAGGAACGTCTGTATAGTTTGGATCAGGTTGTTGAAAACATAATCCAAACTTTAATTCCCCAAAAACGGAGTTTGTATCCATGTTGGCGGAGTACAATATCATTTAGTTGAGAGCCGGCAATTTTCAAAACTTGAGGCTAATTTTGATTTTGCTCCAGCGAGGATTGTGGAGGTCAAGTCTGCAAAATGTGTATTGTTACAGGTTTGCCACTAGATCTCACTAAAGAGCTTCGTGGTTACACCAGTAAGCAGAGGTGTGTGATCATAGTTGAAATGATTTCCAGGCGATATCCTGAACAGTAATTTCTACCTTTTTCTGCTGCTTGGGTCTTGGTTTTCTTGCTCAGCCGTGCAGCTAAGCCAGTTTCCTCAACCGGCTCTGTATTTTCTGCATCCTCTCCAAACTCCATCTTCATCACAACATCTTCACTCTTCAGAGACAGAAATGAGGTCAAGAAAAATGTTACTTTTGGGCAGTTTGTTGTTCTGAATGTGTTAATGTAAAAAACAGTTTATATGCACAATCACATATGAAAACATACCTTGATTTTCTTTCCTCTCTTGCCCTCTCCTTTCTTCAGATCAGCCTTCCTGTTAGCTTCAGCCTTCATGGTGCTGGTGACACGTGGAATGACGCGGCGGCCCTGTGGAGTGGGCAAAGTCTCCTTTTTCACCTTTACTGCTTTGCCTTTTCCAGTTTTTACAGGAAGGGTGGCATTTTCCTTTTCCTTTGCCTCAACCCGCTAAACACAAGAAGAAGAAAAATACATCACAAGTTTGACCAGGAGCAAAAGCACCGATCACAGTTGTTCTTTAGATATAACATTATCATAATCTGATCACATGACTAACAAAGTGCACCGATTGGATATAAAGCAGAAAAAGGAAAAGAAAAGAGGAAGACAGAAAAGATCCAGTACCGCCAGTTCCTCAGAGAAGGCAGCAAGGTCCTCCCTCCACAGGTCTGCTGGACTCTTTTTCTTTAGGGTGTTTAGCTCTGTCACCTGTACAAGAGTTAGGACAGAAACACACGACCTTAACACAGGAGCTAATAATCTACCATTTCAAGCTTAAAGCATCACTAAGTTTGCCGCATAGCTCACCTTAGCATCCCTCTGTTTGCACAGCTCCTCCTTTTTCTCTTTTGTCAAGAACCACATGGGCATGCTCAGCAGATAATTGTAGTCCGGTCCAGTCGAGTCGTCTTTTTCTCCTCCCTCCTCCTCCTCCTCCTCCTCCTCCTCCATCTCCTCCTCATTCTAAGAGAGTTCACACAGATGGTTATTTAACATCCCTCTCTGTTGTAGCTGAACTTTGTTGGAACTGTCGGAATCAGAGTGTCCCACCTTCTCCTGAGCCTGTTTCCAAGTCTTGACTGGGTCGGAGTCGTAGCCCATCTGTTGGAGCATGCGGATCAGCTCCTTCTTTGGCTTGTTCTCTGCACACACACGGACAGTATTAATACTAATCAAGAAACAACCAAACTAACTATAAATAACTATATCAGTTGATATACAGGATTTTCCACTGTTATTGAAAAATGTGCTTGAAAACAAACAAACAAACAAACAAACAAACAAACAAACAACAACAACAACAACAACACAGAATCTATTTGAAACTTTGCACTTACCAATGACCAAGGTGCCCTGAATTTTCTCCAGGATGAAGCGAGCCTGGTTGCTGAGCTTGGCGCTCTCTGCTCCCAGCATGCCTGCCAACCAGTCCTTTCTCAGCACGTAGTACTTCATCCTCAACTCAAAGAAATCTCTGATGATATCCTGCACAGACTCATACTTTTTCAGGCTACCCACGTGGTCAAACAGAACCTGGAAAACAAAGGGAAAAATGCTGATGCTTCACAGGGTTTGGAAATATGTGAATAAATGTTTGAGATTTCACAGGAAAGCAATAGAAGACCTTATTCATCCTGCTGTGAATGTGTGCAAATAAGTGGCAATCATTACCATCGAGTTGCAGGTGAGGGGGCTCTGCAGCTTGAAGACTTTATGGAGGCCAGCAGCCTCAGCCTCCCTCAGCTTCTCTTCTGTCATCTTGACCACAAAGCGCACCGTGGTGTCAGTGTGGTAGTCCTTGTAGTCTGTGATGAGAGGAGGAACCTTCTCTGTGCCATTCAGCATCGGCTCCAGCACATTCTCCTTGTAAGCCTAGACGAGAAAGTACATGAAGAGTTCAGCAAAAGGGTAAGAGGGTATTTATTTGAGTCAATCTAATAAACACTATGCGTACACATGGTAAAATGTTCTGGAAATGACTTAATTGACCAACCTGTGTCCATGTTTTTACAGGTAATTCAGAGATTTCAATAGTGGTCGAATCAAGGATGGAGATCTCTCCACTATTCAAGTACTGGTTATCCATCACCTGCTCAATTGTGCCTCTGAAGTCTTTATAATTTGGAAGCTGTAGGAGGAAAAACAAGCACTTAGTTTTTGCACAGCAAATCACCC